GCTGTGCATCTTGACACAAGGCCATGTCTCTCTCATGTTTGCATTCACATAAAGTCCACCAGTTCACCATGCTGTTCCTCACAGTTGTGGACATCAGAAAGCTGAAAGATAAAATGTATTCTTGGAAAAACTGGAGCCAGAGGGACCAAGAAAGAGGTGCAACATGTGAGAGATCTGGGTATTTCAAAAGTGGGTATCCTTGAGGAACTGAAGGAAGTTCCGTAGAGCCAGATAAAGTTCAAAGCAAATACCAAAAATCTAGAGAGGGGCTTGTGAGAGGCAAAGCTAGCAGAGATTTCCTCCCGCTCTCTCTCTCTCTCTATATATATATATAGGTTGCCTCTTTACTTGATCATTTCCTTTGCTGCACAGAAGCTTTTTAATGTCACGAAATCCCACTTTCAATTGTTGATGCTAATCCCCGAGCAACTAGAATCCTAGTCACAAAGTGCTTGTCTACTACATTAGTATCTTAAAAATAGTTTTGGTACCTTTTCCTCTATCAGTTTTTGAGTATCAGGTCTTACATTAAGGTCTTTGATCCATTTGGAGTTGACTTTTGTACAGGGTGAGAGGGATCTAGTTTCATTCTGTTGTGTGCAGATACCCGGTTTGGCTAGCAGTATTTGTTGAAGAGGCTTTCTTTTTTCCAGTGTACATTTTTGGCATCTTGTCGGGGGGGGGTATATAAAGAACTCAAAACACTAAACACCAAACAGCCCAGTCAATAAATTGGTCAATGAAATGAACTGTCTAGTTCTCAAAAGATGAAATACCAATGGCCAATAAACACATGAAAAAAAAAATAGTCAACATCAGTAGCCAGCAGAGAAATGCAAATAAAATTTCATTGAGATTCCATCTTTCACCAATAGCAACAAATGCTGGCAAGGATTGGGGGGAGGGGGAAACCTTTATAGAGGAAGTAGGAATTTAAACTGGTACAGCCACTATGGAAATCAGTGTGAAGGCTCCTCAAAAAATAAAAATAGAACTAGCATATAACTCAGTTATGTCACTCCTGGGTTTTTACCAGAAGGACTTCAAATCATCAGATCACAGAGACACTTATATCAAGGTTTATGCAGTACTGTTTCACAATAGCTAAGTTATGGAACCAGTCTCGGTGTCTACCAAGAGAAGAGTTTATAAAGAAATGTGGTTCCATTCTTTCACAATGGAAACTTTTTCAGCCATAAAGAATGAAGTTATATCATTTGCAGGAAAATGAGTACAAATGGAGATAACCATATTAAGTGAATTAAGTCGGTCTCAGACAGACATTGCATGCTTTCTCTCATGTGTTGGTCCTAGTGTTTATAGACACATAAAGCCTTATGTGCACAGATGTCATGAAAGTAGTGAAACTGTCTAGTGAGGCAAAGGGGACTGATGGGAGGATGAGAGAAAAGTGTCAGGGGGTGGGGACAGGATATGCTCAAAGTATATTGTATACTGTATTAAAACAGCCTTATGGAACCCTGTATAATTAAAAAGAAAGGGATCTGACATAGCTAACATTCTCTATGAGCCTACCAGTTGTACTGTGCCAACAGCTCTCCATGCATTATTTTATTGAGATCGCAGAGGCTAAGGAATTCACCCAAAGTCCTACTTTGGGAAGTGATAGAACTGAGAGTCAGAGCCAGGTTTAATTCCAGAGCCTGTGCTCTAAACCAGTTGTTCTACTAAGTGGGAAGATGTGCAAAGATATACTGCAAAGGGTCAAAACTGAAGGTAAAATCTCAGCACAGTGGCACCTGCCTATTAGTCCAGCACTCAAGAGGCTAAGGCAGGAGGATCTCAAGTTTGAGGTTCGCATGGGCTACATAGCAAGACCCTGTTTCAAAAATGAAAAAACTAAACAACAAAAATCCCTGAAGGTAGGAGGTCAAGTTAGGAAAAAATGTATAAGTCCAGGTTAAAAATGATAGACTTTAGCTGCCCTTGGAAATGAGAAGTGGAGTCCAAAGAGGTTCAGAAAGAAGATGCCACAGGGTTTAGTGACTGAACACAAAGGGTGATGATGAGAGGAGGAAGGAAGCAGGGATGACTTGTGGGTTTGTTTCTTTGTGGGTACCACAGAATTTTCTGCAATAGAAAACAGTGAAGGGGGAGCAAGTTTGTGTGGGAGGGAACTTTAGGGCTGGTTAAGTTGAAGCATGGTGAGATATCCAGGACATTTCCAACTGACAGATTAGTCTTTGGCCCTGAACTCAAAGAAAGACTACATTGAGCCAACAGCAAAAAGTAATTGGTATTTGCCACCCCCCAGGAGTGCTCTATCAGAGAATTACCAGGGTGATTACACTACAGCGGGAACACTTTTCCCCAGATCCAGGGGTTGTGTTTCATAAAACACAGTCTGACCAACAATTTACCTAAGTCCTTCACAACAGGGCTTCTTAAGCTTTTTCACTCATCATCCCCATTTGCCTGAAAATATTTTGCATGACCTTAGGTATATGGATATATAAGATAGCGTATTAGTTAGCTTTCTGTTGCTACGATAAAATCAAGAACAACTTGGGGAAGGAAGAGTTTATTTGACTTACAGTTCCAGAGGGATGAGTCCATGGTGTCAGGGAAGCATGGTGACAGAGGTGGCTGGAGCAGAAAGCTCAGTTCTCACATCTTGGAGAATACGCAAAGAAGCAAAGAGAAACAAACTGGAAGCAAGATGAGGCTGTAAAGCCTCAAAGCCCACCCCCAGTGATGTGCTTCCTCCAGCATGGCCACACCTCCTAAAGGTTCCATTCCATGACCCTCCCAAAGCAGTGCCACCAATTGACCAAGTGTTCAAATACTTGAGCCTAAAGAGCTGGAGATATGGCTCAGCACTGCCTACTCTTGCAGAGGACCCAGGTTCCATTCCCAGCACCCATATGGCTGTTAACAGTCATCCGTAACTCCAGTTATGGGGGATCCAACGCCCTCTTCTGGCATCCTTGGGCATTATACAACATAGATACACATGTAGGCAAAACATTCATTCACATAAAATAAAATAGAATAAAATAAAATAAAATAATTTTTAAAATTACTTAATCTGGGCATGGTGACACATGCCTTTAATCCCAGCACTCAGGAGGCAGAGCAGGTGGATCTCTGTGAGATCAAGGCCAGCATGGTCTACACAGAAAACCCCAGGCCAGCTGGGGCTAAAGGGAGATGCTATCTCAAAATATAAAACAAAACAGAACAAAAAAATGACTTAAGCCTAGGGGGCTACTTCTCCTTCAAACAACAAGTAGGTATACAAATAAAATACCCATTGATAATAAATCATAAGGAAAAGTATCAAAAACAATCCCCTAAAGTTCTAGTTTCATTCTGTTGTGATAAATCACTATGACCAAAAGGAAGGAAAGAGTTTATTTCATCTTATACATCTAAGTCATAGCCCATCACTGAGGAAAGTCAGAGCAAGAACTCAAGGAAAGAACCTGGAGCAGAAGCCATAGAGGAATGCTGGCCCACTCAAAGTCTCATTCATAGGCTCACACTCAGCCAGCTTTCTTATACAGCCCAGAATCACCTGCCTAGGAATGGTGCTGCCCACAGTGAACTGGGTGCTACTGCATTAATTAATAATCAAGATATTCTCCCACAGCCATGCCCACTGGCCAACCTGATCTATAAAATTCATAGTCAAGGCTTTCCTCTCAGATGACTTTAGGCTGTATCAAGTTGACAAAGCTAACTAGGACATTTAGTATACCTAAAATTTTATCATTTATTAAAGACCAAAACAAATTTGTATACTGTTGGGAGGGTTGTGTTTGTTTATTTTTACATGCAAAATTAAATCTAGTCTATTTGATGCCACATCTTCAACACCTTCAATGGTTTTGAGAGTTCGTTTATACTTGATTTATGATCATTGATGATGAAAACACCACTTTGCATAAATATGTAGTACAAAATGTCAGATGTTTGTTTAGGGCCATATCAGAATTGTTGGAAATTCTGTCCCAATCCCAAGCCAAAATCCACTGAATGATTTAAATGTTTAAAATCAAACATTCTGTCACAATACAATCTGAAGCAATACTTATTCAATACATACCAAGGAACAGCAGTAGGAAAATATTTATTTCTTTAGGAGCAAAAAACACCTCAGATTCATTATGAATTTGATTTGAATTAATTTTTGGTCATTCCTTTTTCAAAAGACTTTTACTGTTGCCAAATTTTTCTCCATTTAAATTTGTGTGTGTGTGTGTGTGTGTGTGTGTGTGTGTATACACATGCATGCACACGTGGAAGTAAGAGGACAACTTTGGGGAATTGTTTCTCTCCTTTCCAGGAACTGAACTCAGGTCATCAGGTCACCAGGCTTGTGTGTGCAGCAACCACTTTTACTCACTGAGCCATCTCACTGCCCTTGTTGATTTTTTCACAACTCCCCCTAGTCAGTTATAGGATCCCATATGTTACAACCCACAGTTTAAGACACTGTGCTTTATGTGCACTACTCTTAAAAGCCGTCTAGACTGCACATTACAAACTGGAAACAGAGACCTTCGCCAAAAGTGGAGCTATCCAAATAAGAATGAGTGCTGTTTTCAGACATTTTTGTTTGGTTTGAAGTCAAATTTAAATTCGAATGTAACTCGTTCTGTATTTTCGGTAAGAACGTCGAGTGTATAAAATACCATTGATATTATATGTGGTGAGCTGCCACTGCTAGGACAGTTCTCTGAATGACTCATGCAGAAGCATGAGGGGCTCAAGTCCAGCAGCAGTAGCACTGGCCCTGCTCATCAATGGTCTCTTTAAAATGTGGCCTCTTATAAGTAGATGCAGTCCTTCTGCAATATGGGCCATTGGTGCATTCTGTATCTTGCATGTAGTGCTATCAAGTTGTGCCTCTAAGTTATACTTCTCAATCTGCTACACCCAAACACCTCTAAATGGAAATTCAGAGCCACTTCTGCCATGGTAATAAAATGGGATATAGGTTTAGCTGAATCCACTTTGTCTCTCTTTTCTTTTAGAAAGCATCACAGGCAGTCCCTACATGATGTGGCTTCTCAAGACTCAAGGACCAACCACCCTCCACACCTGCAATGGAGAAGGCAGAAATGGAGATGCAAATGCCACAGCTTCCCTTCTGTCATTAACCCCTCTGTAGACATGTGTCCCCACCAGAGGGCTTGAACTGCACTACGGGGCAGGGAGCTCTCAGACCCCCAAACCACTAGCACCTTTGTCTCTCCTCGTGGAGAGAAGGCAGAGTCATGGCATCTTACAGCTGCTATTTGATCTTCTTGGCTCTTGCCTGGCACTCCTCTGCCTATGGGCCTGACCAGAGAGCCCAAAAGAAGGGAGACATTATCCTCGGGGGTCTCTTTCCTATTCATTTTGGAGTAGCAGCCAAAGATCAGGATCTGAAATCAAGGCCGGAGTCTGTGGAGTGCATCAGGTAGGCAGAGACTGAGTCAAGAGTCTGTCCATCTCTCTGTGGTTAAGAAAAACTGAGTAACTTTTAAAAGCTTGGTTCTCTCTGTTTGAAAATGGTGATTGGTCATCACGCCAAAGCTTATTGGCCTCTTCCTTTTCTTTCCCTAAAGAATTATTTTTCTGGGGGCTGAAGAGATGGCTCAGCGGTTAGGAGCATTGACTGCTCTTGCAGAGGACCGAGGTTCAATTCCCAGCGCCTACATTCATGGTGGCTAACAACCTCCGTTACTCCAGTTCCAGGGTATCGAATGCCCTCTTCTCACCTCTGCAAACATTACATGGCATGGGTGCACTTACATACACTCATACACATAAAAAATAATAATAATAAAAGTTTTTAAAAGAATTATTTTCTTAATAATAAAATACCAAGGGCATTGAAGAGAAAATGCATGGCCTGTGAAGGCCCAGTCATTTGGTAGCAGGACATCATGGTTCACCTAGTGACAGCAAGCAGTGTTGCTTAACACAGGACTAAATATCCAGAAAGAGCTGGGTGGGGTGGTACACTGTAATCCTAGCACTCAGGAGACTGAGGCAGGAGGATTGTGAGTTCCAAGTTACAGAACAGGACCCTGTCTCAGAAAATAAATAAGAATGATAAACGGAGCTGAGGATTTAACCTAGTGATAGAGCTCTTGCCTAACATGTACCAGGCCTTGTGTTCAATCCATAACACTGAAAAAAATTAACTAAAAAACACATAAAAGGAAGTTCATTGTAGCTCTTGTAAACTTTAGCAATACGTTTTCCTCTAATGGATGCAGCCCAGTGGGCAGTAATCCCCGAGAATTGGCTGCTTTACTCTTTGTTTCCTACCTTACCTTTTAAAAAATATTTTATTTTATTTTATGTGTATGAGTGTTTTGCCTGCATGTATGTAAGCGTGCCATGTGCATGCAATGTCCCAGAGGCCAGAAGAGGGCTCTTTATCCCCTGGAACTGGAATTACAGATAGTTGTTAGCCACCAGGTGGGTGCTGGAACCTCTGCAAGAACATCCAGTGCTCTTAACCTCTGAACCATTTCTCCAGCCCCTTTGTTGTTTATCTTTATTAAAGGAATTTAGAGTTAAAAGAAACTTACTGCAGTCAGTAAGGCTTTCAAAATATACCCCATAGCATTTTGGAACTATTTCTGTTAAAAATCTTTCTCATAAAAAGCTGAACCCCTATCTCTATCCTTCTCATCACATTTCCCAACTTTGACCCTCCCACACACAGAAAATATGCCTACCACAGATGGGAAAGCACAGAATACCTCTAACTATTTCGTGGACTCTCTCTTCTAACACTTGAAGGCAGCTAATATGTACCCCTAAACCTTTTCTCCTCCAGGCCAACAGTCTCAGTTTCCTCACCAATTCCTCTGTGGTATGATTTCCCAGCCTCTCACCATTCTGGCTGTCCCCATCTAATGCCCCGCCTTGATCGTCACCCCTTTAGAACATGGCACCCAGCAGCAGGCAACTCTGCAGTTGGATCCAGAGTAAATGTCACCTCCCTCAATCCTGACATAGGAGGTCATGATCTCACACCATACATGGCCTGGCCCAGCTTCTCAGAGAGCAGCACTTTCTCTCTGGGCCTTTCAGTTTCTAGAAGGGACCCGTCACTTTCCCTTGATCTTCCTGACAGCTAGAAAATGAAAATAAAAGTAAAGATTGTCCCAACAAAACTGGAGCTCCGTTCATGCTATAATGGAGCCATTTTCCACATGTTTCTTATGAATGTGGAGAAACTTGATGCATAATTTCACTAATAATGACTGTATCTTTCACACAACCCATGTGGACATACATTGCCTGTGTTGTTCCCTGTAGAACAGAGTGGTACATGGGCCCATGCATACAGAACTTAGAACAAACAAGAAACTAGATGGCAAATCAGTTAGCTTTGTTTTTAGGCAAAGAAAAATAGTTTAATATCTCCTAATAACCTTACATGTTTAAACAAGTAATTAAACAAATTTAAAAAAAACATAAAGTGGTGCAGAGAAAATTTCACATTCAATGTTAGAACAGGAACTCTGGAAACGTGATGATAGGATGGAGTGTGGTGGGTCAGATTCCCCAGCTCCTGACACTGAGCTCAAGTGGTGAAGTCCACAATACAAAGAAAGAGCCTGCCATGCTGTGATAGTTTTGTCTTTGGACCCCAATTCGCTGAGTCAGCACACTTAGGCAGCCCTCACTCTGAGCCAAGTGCTGGGAGAATAAAAACGGTCACTGGTGCTATTTCTTTGTTGATTTGCTGGATTTTTACTAAAAATAACGTTCTTTGAAAAGTAGTCATGCTCATTTTCTAAACAGAACTTGTAAATAAGCCCCAAACATACAAGTTTTAAAGCCCATCATACCACCACCCAGAAATGATCGTCCCTTGTGTGCAGTCTTCAAATGCTTGCTGTTTATTAACAAAAGGTCTGTCGCTCTTTCTGCCTTAACCTCCAGGAATGTCACAGTCTAAATTTGTGACTTTGCAAATCTGAGGTTATTTTTAGGCTCCCACATATTTTAATATCTGAATCTATTTGCATTTCCCTAATCCTTCTTTTTATTATTTTATGTTTTTATACTTTATTTATTATTTTTATTTTATGTGTATGAGTGTATTGCCTGCCTGTAGATAAGTGCACACGTGTCGTGCAATGCCTGAGGAGGACAGAAGGGGCTGTCAGATCCCCTGGAACTGGAGTTATGGACAATTGTTAGCTGCCATGTGGGTTCTGGGATTCGAACCTGGGGCTTCTGCAAGAACAACCAGTGTTCTTAACCACTGAACCATCTCTCCAGCCCCGATCCTTCTTTTTATAAGACAGGGACTTTCTATGCAGCCCTATGCTGGCCTCAAACTTACAATCTGCCAGCTTCAGCCTCCCAAGCGCTGCTATTACAGCAGTGCTCCACCACACCCACCATGCCTTACTGCTACTAAAGTATTTCCCATCGGTTACTCAAATTCTATGCTACAGGGGGTCTCTATAAATCATTCAACTATTTACCAATCCTTTCTATTCTTTCTCCCTAACTGGAAGGGAGGCACTGTCTAAGAATTTGACCCAGCTCATGTCTTGAGAGCCACCCTAGAAGGTGTTATCCTATTTTACAGAGTGGTTTGTGGCCCTCAAAGAGCACACCACAAAGCTGAAGGGCAGCAGAGCCGCAGTTCAAGCCCAGCTCTAACCACCTTTACTCAACAGCTGACCAGAGCCTCCATTTCCTTCCATTTCTTTCTTCCAGGTATAACTTCCGTGGATTTCGATGGTTACAAGCCATGATATTTGCCATAGAGGAGATAAACAGCAGTCCTGCCCTTCTTCCCAACATGACGCTGGGATACAGGATATTCGACACCTGTAACACCGTTTCCAAAGCCCTGGAGGCCACCCTAAGTTTTGTTGCCCAGAACAAAATCGATTCTTTGAACCTGGATGAGTTCTGTAACTGCTCAGAGCACATTCCTTCGACTATTGCTGTGGTGGGTGCAACTGGCTCTGGCGTCTCCACAGCGGTAGCCAACCTGCTGGGCCTCTTCTACATTCCCCAGGTACTGGCATCTTCTTAGATGAGCACCAGAGGTAGGCTTGGAGGGGTGCATGCTGACAGTGTCCTCTCTGGCTTCCCAATGTCATAAAAGTAGTCAGGGAACCCACTGTACAGTGACCACTTGGAATTTCTGAGCCGCTAGTCACTACCCTTCCAAGATTCTTTGAAACTTCTTTCAGTGTTCAGTTATGTCTCAGTCTGTTCCTGAGAATTTATTCTATTTTTACTAAAAGGAACAAGATCATATAACACAAATCTCATCTTTCAAGCCAAAAACATCTTCACCTAGTTCTAGCCCTGTTTCTATTTCTCTACTGTTGAGTTCAGTGCAAAGAAAAAATAAAGCATGTTTTCCCACAAAGCAGGAGCTTGATAACTGTCTTACACATTCTGAAATGGAGACATTCTAATTTTTCCAACAAATATTTACAAAGTATACATGAACAGTCTCCATCCTGTAGAAACTCAGTCTAGGCAGTAGATGGTTATATTTTCAAATACCAATAATTCACTGAAATGTTCTTTTACAAACATTTATTCAAAGTTATGCTCTGTCTCTGTGAAATCAAGGTAGCCTGGTCTACATAGTGAGTTCCAGGCCAGCTGGGGCTACAGAGAGAACTTATCTCAAAAAAAAAAAAAAAAAAAAACCCAAAACCAAAGTTGTGTTCCCCTCCAAAATGATAGCAAACTCCAAATTCCGTTGTATTGCTTGATTTTCCCTTTTAGCACTGTTGAATATAAAGCAAACCTTTCTTCAGCTTATTATCTATAAATGTATGACATCACTTTAGCATGGTGAATTCTGACAAATTAATATTCAAAATGTACATTGCTAGATTCCCTTTCTCTGTTGGAAGGGCTCTACTTCTTTGATAATTAATGTGGACTGGGTCAGAGTACTTGGGCACAGGAGTGACAGAGTGAGGGCTTTCCTGTGGGGAACACCTTGACTTCATTGAAGATTCCATAAATAATGAAGAGCATTTCTCTGTTGTAACATATATAAAAAGGATATGTGCTGGGCATATTTAAATTTGTCAGATTGTGCAGCATTGTTTTAAATATACTGTTAAGGTATCACCCCATGGCCTGAAGGGAGAAGATGCTAACGCCATCAGGTAAAGAAAGGAAACCTTTCCTTCTATACAGTTTGAAAGAAAGACAAGGGGACACTGAATTTGAAGATGAAAGCATTAAGTCTGTGGTGACTGTCAGTCAAACCAACATGGTCTTCAGCAGAGGTTCTCTGCTATGGCTGCAAGTTGGGAAGCTGTTTAAGAGCTCCCACTGCCTGGATCCAGCCTGCAGAGGTCATGACTTAATAAGGCTGAGATGCAGCCTGGCCTCTGGAGGTCTGACCCCTCCCCAGCAGATTCCAGAGCAGTGCTTCTCAGCTCCACAGAGGGCACATGCCCAGCCCTGTTTCTTCCGAGAGTCACGCCACCAAGTGGATGGAACAAGCAAACCAGCCGGAAGAAACTGTGGTTAAAGAGTTTTCTGAATCATTCATGAAATTCTCCCCTCCTACGAGAAAAGTCTGGTGTGTTTTAAGGGTTTTTCTCTGAAGGGCCCTAAGTGGCATTTTTCTCAGCTTTATAAGTTGTCATTTGAAAACTGGTCAAATAGTATAATATTAAATACATTCTGCAAGAGAACATACCACGAGAGATATCTTTGGTTTTAATTTTTTGTCCCCTTATGACTCTTTTTGTTCCATTTTTCCAAAGAAAATAAGTGAGCTATAATGGGTAGAGATGTGAGCTGGTTAAATTTTGCCTTTGCAAAATCCTGACTCTGAAGCCTATTGTTTGGATCTGCAAAGAGTTTTCAAAAAAAAAGTAACATGGAAATAAATCATTTCATCTAACCATCTAGCTCCTGAGCGTCTGTTGGTGGAGCAAGAGGGGATTATTGTGACAAAAGATTTTTTTTTAATGTGAGCTTCATAGTATAGCTTCTGAGATTAAAAGCCTTTGTCAGAGAAATCATGCCTGCCTTTGGCAAATTTGGACCAGTCTTTTCACAGAACAGTACCTTTTATGTTTTTAATGTAAAAACTATTGATTGATTAGAAGACTGTTGGGAATTTTTATTTTAAAGCATTGAACAAAGAATGCTAATTGTTTCCATTAAGGAGAAAAATGTAAAAGGCATTCCCCAAAATCTCTTTAACTTGTTTTCTGAAGTGTAAGAACTTGTAAGGGAACTAGTGAACAAGCGATGTTGAATGCTACTTCATTTCCTAGAAATTCCATTAATAAGAAAAATGTTCTATTCTTCAGAAGAAATGCTCTGATAACCTGAGACTCCCTAATTGGCGATCTGTGCTGACGACACACAGGGTGCTGCCGGGACCAGGGCCTGGCAACATAGGGGTGTTGATGCTTTGCAGCTTTCAGGGGCAAGTGGGGCTTGGGGGCAGGTCGGAGCATCCCCACCAGGGTTAGTCAGCCTGCTCCATTTACTCTGTAGTCTGTACCATGACATGAAAAAAAAAGTTGGAAAGCTGTGCACTGTCTAATGGTATGTGGACACATTTCAGACAGTGAACTCTGAACATGAAAGGCAAGAATTTCTTTCCTTATTGAATTTCCATGTTCAGATATGGAACTTCCTACAGCTCAGGGAGTGGGGGCCTGCCAGTGAACCTTCTCCAGAGTTCCCTTTCAACCTCTATAAGGTTTTATAGGCCCACATCAGGGGCCAAGCAAGTGGGCTCAGTCCTCATCTGCAACTGTACAAAGGGAAGGGCTTTGGATGCTGGTTGAACCACTGAGAAGTCAGGAAAGAAAAGGAGGCTCTTCTGATGATAGTTAGTGATGTTCATTATTGTTATAGAAGTACAGGGGCATTGAGCAGAGCCTAAAAGATAAAAAGCTCTCAGAAATTACTATAATTAAAGTTCATTTTCTGTAAAGTACAGGGAAAAATAGGGGCGGAGGGATGGCTGAAAAATGGGAAGAGGAAAATTGGGCAGAACAGGAAAAAAAGATGTTCTTGGGGATTCTCTGAAGAGCCTTATAATCCATAGGAAAGCTGATTCTCCCAGAAGTGGGTTACACTCAAAGTGTTCACGACAGCAAGGTGAAGCTGTAATGTTGAGACAAGAACCAGGGCCAAACTGGCAAAAGATGTGTCAGGAGCACGTGGACCTATGATAACCAACATGGCAACACAGAGGACATTAGAAGAAACACAAAATTGAGCCAGGCGTGGTGGCACTCGCTTTTAATCCCAGCACTCAGGAGGCAGAGGCAGCCGAATCTCTGTGAGATGGAGGCCAACCTAGTCTCCAGAATGAGTTCTAGGCCAGCTGTGGCTGCAGGGAGACCCTGTCTCAAAAAGACACATACACAAGAAAAGACTGACTGACTTGAAATTATCAGCACATTCTGCTGCTGAAGGGTTAAGTCTATTACTAGATCCATTTTTAAAAGGAGTATCATAAGGAATTATGCACTGGGAATTAGGACGTTCTCCCCAGTAGACTAACAGGGACTTAGGTGTTCCTGTTGGTGTGAACAGTCTGATTTTTCTCACTCTTATCCTGTCCACAGTGAACATGTGTTTGAAAAGTGACATTTAAGTACATTCACAAAACCTTCCCCTCAAGAGCAATTTTGAGACCCACTCATTGAGTTCTTGGTTCTTCCCAGGTGAGCTACGCCTCCTCCAGCAGACTCCTCAGCAATAAGAACCAGTTCAAGTCCTTTCTACGCACCATCCCCAATGATGAACACCAGGCCACCGCCATGGCCGACATTATCGAGTATTTCCGGTGGAACTGGGTGGGCACAATTGCAGCTGATGATGACTATGGCCGGCCAGGGATTGAGAAGTTCCGAGAGGAAGCGGAGGAGAGAGACATCTGCATCGACTTCAGCGAACTCATCTCCCAGTACTCGGATGAGGAAGAGATCCAGCAGGTGGTGGAGGTGATCCAGAATTCCACAGCCAAGGTCATTGTCGTTTTCTCCAGTGGCCCAGACCTGGAACCTCTCATCAGGGAGATTGTCCGCCGCAATATCACGGGCAGGATCTGGCTGGCCAGTGAGGCCTGGGCCAGTTCCTCCTTGATCGCCATGCCTGAGTACTTCCATGTGGTCGGGGGCACCATTGGATTCGGTCTGAAGGCTGGGCAGATTCCAGGTTTCCGAGAATTCCTGCAGAAAGTCCATCCCAGGAAGTCTGTCCACAATGGTTTTGCCAAAGAGTTTTGGGAAGAAACATTTAATTGCCACCTCCAAGAAGGAACTAAAGGGCCTTTGCCTGTGGACACCTTCATGAGAAGTCATGAAGAAGGTGGCAACAAGTTAAGCAACAGCTCCAGTGCCTTCCGACCACTTTGTACAGGGGATGAGAACATCAGCAGCGTAGAGACCCCTTACATGGATTACACACATTTACGGATATCCTACAATGTATACTTGGCGGTCTACTCCATTGCTCATGCCCTACAAGATATTTACACCTGCTTGCCTGGAAGAGGCCTCTTCACCAATGGGTCCTGTGCAGACATCAAGAAGGTTGAGGCCTGGCAGGTAAGGCTCTCACTTAGATAGCAGTGCACTCTGTGATAGAGCAGAATCAGGCCGATCCAGGGAAGAAGCAGAGTGACTGCACTGGTTATTTTTGTGATCAATGTACCTGAGAGAACAACTTAAAGGATTTCTCTTTGGCTTTTGGTTTCACAGGGTTTGCTACATGATCATTTGGTCCTGTGTGTTTGGGCAGGACATCATAACTACAGAAGCATGTGGCAGGAGAAAGCTGTTCCCTTCCTGGCCAACAGGAAGTGGAGATAGGGGGATGCTGGCTCTCACTTTCTCCTACTCCTCTTTTGTTCTAGCTGGGTCCCAGTCCACTGGACGATACCAGCCATATTCAGAGCAAGCCTTTCTTCCTCAGCTAAGCATCACTGGAAACTCCTTCACACACACACACACACACACACACACACACACACACATACACTAGGGGTGTGTCTTAGTCACCAGGGTGATTCTAGATCAGTTAAGACTATGAAGATTAGTCTTCATGGTGGTTGCTCCAAAACTGCAATGTCAGAATGAGCACTGAGAAGAACTTTGGATTCCTGATACATTTTCAAGCATCTGAACAAAACTTCTGACTTCTACAAAACTGATGATAGTTAATTTGATTACCTGTTGCTTAAAAGCTATGGCTCAGGCCAGGTCTGGTGGCACATGCCTTTAATCCCAGCACTTAGGAGGCAGAGGCAGGCAGATCTCTGTGAGATCAAGGTCAGTCTGGTCTACATAGTGAGTTCCAGGCCAGCTGGGGCTATAGGGAGACCTTGTCCCCCAAAACAACCAACCCACAGATAACAACAATAGAAAGCTATGACTCAATTGTTTATTAATCCTGAATACCAATGTGTGACTCTTAAAAGTTTTCAAGTGTCTGAGAACAGATTTAGTACTGAGTGCTTGTGTGATAACTAAATTAATGATCGTGTTCCTTTGTAAGTAACTAGTATTTGTAGAATACTTATTATATTCCATACACTAAAGAATAGAAAACTAGTCCTGTGTGTTCAGCCACTGTTTACCATTATATGTCTCACAACCTATGTGGACTGTCCAGCTGAGCACAAGCTTTAGACACAAGCATGTCAAAAACAGGAAACCTTTTCCTTAAAAGATTAAATGTTTAAAAAAGAAACAAAACCTAGCTATAGAAAAACCAAGACTTAGTGAAGGTCTCACACTTATTTTATACTTAGTCATTTAGTCTTCTTGTATTGTGTACAGAAGTGACACCATTTCACCTCATGAACTTCTGAAGGAAACAGCTTGCTCTGAATTATATCACACATGGCTGTTCGTGTCTTACACATGAACCTCGTTTTTGCAACCAGGCTGTTTTACATTCTTGGTGTATTTTTTCAGTTCCAGGTTGTATCAGAGAGACTGCATGAGAATGGGGTGGGGTATTCTTGGAATGTGAATCAAATGACCCAGCCCCAGCTTCAGCTTCAGCACACCATTTCTGAGCTGTGTGATCTTTGGCAAGCCATCATTCTGACAGGCTCTTCCCTCTGTAAAATGGACCTTATGTCTAGTCTGTTGTCACCCAAGTTTCTTTTAAATATTAAATGAGATGGTAATATGAAGGCAATTTGTAAACTTTTAAGCTATGAGTAGATATGTGATTATCATAGTAATCTCTCTTTCTCTCTCTCGCTCGTTTTCTATGTATGTGTATTAATTAAATGTAGTGTGTGGATGTGTGCACATATGCATGGGGAGGCCAGAAGTCAACTGTCAAGTGTCTTCTTCTTTAATCACTGTCCACCTAATTTTTTAGATAGGATCTCTTACTGAACCTGGATCTCACTGATTTGACTAGACTGACTGCTAATAAACTTCAGGGATACTGTCTCTGCACAACACCCCCATACCAACAAGTCCTGAGTTACAGATGTATGCCATCATGCCTGGATTTTTATACAGGTGCTGGGGATCTGAACTCAGATCCTCATGCTTGTGTAGCAAGCAGTTTACTAACTAAGCCATCTCCGTAGCCCCTGTCCAGTAATATCTTAGAATACTCCTAATTAATCAGTTAGGCAAAAAATAACTAGAATAGTTTTGTATAAAGAACCCTACCACCATAGACCCTTCAGAGAAAATACCAAGACACAAAGATCATATAACTTATGTCTGTTAATTTAGAGATTCCCATGAGGTTCTAAGGAGTAACTGCTGTGTTCATAAAATAAGTCAGAGCCTTTAAGTCCCCAGCCCTTCTTGAATGGGAAAATCTCACTCAAACTTCATTGTCAGCCAAAGTTTCTGACCTCTGTGGAGTACCTCTGTCTTCACACTGAACCCCTACCCCAGCAGATAGTGCATCTCAAATGGAGACTTAAGGAGCCACTCTGGTAAGATGTTGAGTTTTAAATAAAGATAGAAGGACAACCTCTTCCCTTCCATGTCCCATAAAAGGAAGGCTTCAGCTCTTGCAAATGCTACAAGAGAAGGGTGGGGTTGAAGGGAGAAGCTTCCAGGGAGGAACTTGGCTCTTCATCTTCTCCCAGGCAAGAAAGTTAGATCCAGAGGGCCAAGGCCAGAACTTGGGCCTATGAGAGGGCAAAACAGTAGGCTATAGTCAAGATTCAGATTTGTTTGTAGTATAGCAGACAACCCAAACCAAGCTGGCTTACACAAAGGAGGGGAAGGAAATTCTGTGGCTCTTACTGAAAATCTCAGATGTATTCCTGCCACTGCTAAATAGTTTCATCCCGTCTCTGTTCCTTATTCCCCGGTGTCACCTGTTTTCAGCTTCTGTCACAGCTTTGAGCTCAAAAACAGTTTTATTTTTTATTAAGAAGAAGTTAAAAAAAGAACCTTGTTGCTAGGACCTCCTCACTTCCCAAGAGCTCCAAAATCCATGTTGACTGACTACCTCTGGGTCTGGTGCTAGAAGTCTTCCCAAATGCCAGTTAGAGACAAGTAAGGGCAGAGTGAATCACCAAGAGGAAAGTAAGGTACTCTTACCAAAAAGGGGACAGGAGGAAAGCAGCCAAAGTTTAATGCCTACTACATAGCTCACCTTACCCTTGTCCAGGCAGACGTGTCTTACCTCAAGCATGCTAGCTCTAGGGAGGAATGGCACCTGGGCACTGGCCGGTGTCGTTTGTGCTTGCTGTAGGTTTTCCTTGAGCCTCAGCAGCCTAGGATACAAGGTGGGCACTCCAGAATTTAAAGTCTTGACCATGCCTCTGTTTATTAGGAGCTGGTCCAGTAATCAGTAACTTGGCAATACAAAGACCTATATAGAAACCTACCACCTAGACAGCCTAATCCAAGAATCAGCCTATAACTGCGTGTCTGCCATCCTCAAGTCTTGCCTTATAAGCCACTCACCTGGCATTATCCTACAAATCACTTCTGAGTTTTTGGCACAGAAATTTTGTTTCTCATTAGTTGTTGGCATAGCGTCTTAGCTTAGGCTGTATCCCACACCTGAGGAACATGGCATTTTGTTTCTGCTGACCTTGGCTACCACAAACTTTGAGGGTTTTTTTTTTTCTCAAAGTTCATTTTCCTGGAAATCTTTTCAAATCAGACTCCCACACACGTCTGTTCTGACCATTCATTTCGCTCATTTTTGCTGGTTTTGTGCCCAGCATAAGCTTTTACAGCTTTTCAATTGATAGAGAGTCTTAACCAAGAGTGGGAGATTTCAGGTTTCTTGTCTTTGGCTAAACTCTATCGACTTTCGTATGCAAATAGGTGCTTCCCATTTATGCTTAGTACACATAACAATTTGACTTTAAAGTCCTTTAATGGAAATTCCCTAAAAGGCCACAAGATGGAAATATTACCACATAAAAGAAACTGACCTAAGCATGTGCATGCAGTTTGCCTTTCGTTGAGATACGTGTCCTTAGTCGCCACTGGGCACCTGATACTGTCTTTGCTTCATCTCACTTGCCTCCATTTATCCATTCTTTTTCCTATCACTCCACACAGAAAATAATTTAAAGCATATTATGTTGGAATATGACCTCAACTCAAATTTTATAGTTTCTTTTTCGATCAGCTCCTTTGAAAATTCTGAAAACAGAAGACTATTCTATCCAGGAAAGCATCTACTTTTAAATTTTAATTACATTTTTACACTTTTACTGATGTATGTTCCTTGTACATAGTGAGGAGCTTCATAGAGATAATTTCACTCAAACGTATCATGTGTTTTGACCATATTCACCCACTCTGTGTTCCCCTTTCTCCCTCTCTCTGCTCCTGCTTGTCCCTTCTTTTCCCAGATAGTCTCACTTCTGTTTTCATGCCAAATATATCATTTTATTCATCTATATAAAAATCTTTTTACTCAAGTTTGCCAGGGTAGCAAAAGAGAGGCCAGTGGCTGCCAGTGAGAGGATCAAATTGTCCAATTCCCAACATTTTTACTTATTTACAGGAAAATTAACATCAGAAGCAGTGCTTGTAATAAGAACCTAAAGAAGTATCATTAACCCTAATAGTGATTTTTAAGGATTTTAACAATGATTAAGATTTGGTCAGTGCCCCAGGGAAAGAAGGGTCCCCCTTCTTTTGTCTCAGCCAAAGAATTATGACTTCATAAATTGAACTGAAAACTAGTTCTGCATTATGAAGTGAATAACAGGAATTGGGGGAAGCATTCTGATAAGGACAGTGAAAGTATATGCAAGGGGCTGGAGAGATGGCTCAGTGGAAGAGCATTTGCTGCACAAACATAAGGACCTATGTCTGAATCCCAATACCTAAGTAAAATGCCTGTAAGCCCAGTGCTGTGGGGACAGAGACAGGAAAATGACTGGGGCTTGCTGCCAGCAGCCCTGCTCCACGGTCAAGAGTATAGAACTCCGATCTTAACTTTTTATCTGAATCTGCTTGATTCAGCCCAAATTCACTGGCTAGACTATCCAGTGTAGTGTTGACTAGATGCAGTGATAATGAATATATTTGTCTGTTGATGATCTGAAGGGAAAAGCACTCAGTCTTGCTGAGAGGTTTTTGCTTGCTTG